ACGTTGCATACAGTAACGTGTTGCATTCAGTGCTCTGCAATTTGTAATTCGACGTAATATAGTAATTGTTTATCGATTGTTACGAGAGCAACGACGGATGACAAGTACTTACAATCTCTTTGTGATACTCATATGTGATGTGACGAAGCAGGTAAATGATTAGTTGTTTCTCTTTATTACACCCAGAGTTGGGCAGAACGTAATCTGATTAATGATTAACGATTATGATTAATGTGGAATCAGGATATTAATCATAATTACTGAAGGAAACTAATCAAGATCATTGTGATCAAAAGTTATGATTAATTTAATAATCATTAATTATAAAATGATTACACTTTTGAGTATAATTGTGTTAGTGATTTACTTCTATCAACAACATTATGTAATGCACACAATCCTACAATTTTATCACCATTTGTTCCAAATAGTTAAAAAATTTTTCATGGCTTCAAAGTCTCATCTGTATAATTGAGTCATTATTGACACAGTCTTCCAAATGACTTGATGAAGATGGACTTTGATGATAAACTTGCCGAATAATCAAAATTCCGAGAGTCTTCATTATGATTCGCGCTCATTCTTATACCATAAATACCTACATATTACATACATACGATTTTTTAATAAAAAGATCTCAAAGAGTTTCAAAGTTACTTAATTCATTTGTAAAGATCTTAATTATATAAAATACAATTAATTTCATGATTGATAATACGAACAAACTTATTATACAATCTAATAATTAAGTATACATTCTGCATAAGCCCACAACGAGAATTGTATAATGTAAAGTTAATAAATTCGAAACTACGTTTGGTATACGTAGATATGTATATGTACTTATGTGATGTAGATTATCCACGTGCCATGTTAGCCATAAAGTATACATAACTTGAAATTAATAAACTTTATACGATATATTCAAGAAATTGTAAATTGTATTACATTTCTACTTTTACACAGCGTTAATTTTTATATATTATTTATATTTATATATTCATATTATATTTATATACTTATGTTATATCACTATTATATAATTTATTATATTATATTATATAATTGTAGAAATGAGTTCGAAACTAATTTCTAAATAATAGTTTAATAATTTCATAAAGAACTGAGAAAGTATCGTAATGTAATACGAACAAAATTGATATGCATACTTGGAAGACAACTATATTTCCAACGAAAAAGATGATATCATTCGACTTAATATTTGTATTCATAATGTGTACAAGAAGAATATAACTCTATATGCAAACCTCATAAAACTAAAACGTTTCATAAAAAAAAATAAGAGTATGTGCAAATACTAAATATTAAAACGAAGAGCACATGCTAAAGTATCTTCAATGATGTGAAAACAAGTTCTTGTGGTTTTTTTTATTCAAGGATTCTGGATTTTAAAAATTGTGTTGACTTAAAATTTCTTTTCTCTCGGTATCTGTAAGATCAAAAAGCACAAATCTTTTTCTTGCAACATCCTGTATAAAAATCTGTGTCTTTTTCAAGGCAATCATGTATATTCCAACCGTAATAAAAGGATTAAACCATCGTATCGTAAATTATGCTTACTCCCAGCCCAGAAAACGGATTTCTATATGCTTGCCCCATTGTTTCAAGGATCAGTAAACTCTCGTCTTCGCATGACAAAAAAACTTTAGAGGGAAATTTGATAATCAATCGAGGAAAAAACTGTTGGACAGAGTGAAGTCTCGTAGAAATAAAATTTCATCAGATTCATTCTTCGTAAATTACGAAATACGGAAACGTTTAATATCATCTACAGAAAATTTGTTCAAGATATAATAAAGTAATGTTTCAACATTCTCTTTTATAAGTTTAATATGTTATTTAAATTTTAATTCCTTAAACAAGAGTAGTAAAGTTAATCATACCGATGGTCAATAAAATTATACTCTAAATTTACGAATGTACAATGTGAAAAAAGAACAATTCAAAGAAATTCTATTAACGTAGGCAAATCCATATGTTTTGAAATAAACAATCGTTCTTCATTTCTTTTCTACTTTGGTTTCTCCAAGCTGCTGTTATTAATTATTCATTATTTGTTACAGTGAAAACGTATGCCGGCTACGATACACAAAACTGGATGAAGGCCATGATTTTACATAGGTATGTACGTACAAAACAGATTATATGTACTACCGACTGTCTCTGCAACTTGAACAAAATATTATTCTTCGACTGTCAGAGTACTCAGAAAGCGATTTGTATCGATTAAAAGTCAAATGATTTTTTCCAAACTGTCGGACAGGTTCTCTACTATGCGATTTACACTTTAACTGATAATGAGTCAGATGATTTCTCTTCTCCTAAACCGATGAAAAATTGAAGAAAATTCCCTCTTTCCATCGGCTTCGAAGCTTTTTAGACTCAGTCAAGGTGGAGACAAATCGCTGACATTGTTTGTCAATTCCTTCTGCGCGTTTTATTTAAATATTTTCGGAAACTTTGCCTGAAAAGATGCCGTATGGATTATGACACGCTATTGAGATGCGTACGGATATAATCAGTTCTAATAAGCCAGTTCTAGAAAAGTTGAGGAAAATAGACAAATTGAAATTTACAAAAATATTGGTACATCGTTTAGAGAAATTAAAACTGACGCAAGCGATTGACGTTGATGTTCGTGACGTCAGAATTCGGAAGGTCAATGAGTAGGAATGACGGAATCGATTTGCGCCAAAATTTGCAACTCTATTGTCCATTCTCATTACACTCTTAAATGGGGCGCATGAGAATTAATGAAGTGCGAGTCATACTTCTCTGCGAGCCATAACAAACCCAAAGATCTCACCAAACCTATGTCTTGTAATACCTGCATGATTTTACACGCCTCGTGAAGGATTCCAAATTTTCGCAAAGCGATTCGCGAAAAGTACTTTCCACCGATCGAAAGATCTTATGGCCTTCCGAGTGGTACAACGACTATAAGAATTTGACTCGTGTGTTTCGCTGCATATTTTAAACCCATTTCGTATTTTGCTCACTAATTGGTGTTATAATGAGGCTCCGTGTGATCCTAACCGCGATAAACTGATCCCTTTAAGGGGAGCTGCTAGTGATTTAATGCACAATGAACGAACCACAGTACACTTTCTCAGAGACATCACAGAAACCATATACATGCGCCAGAGTCCTTATTAATGGCCACTGAGAAATCGAAATATGGCTCAATGACGCAATATCAGAGTCACGGGTTTTTTAAAATTACATGCCACAGTATAATCGAAGTCTCTCCGATGTCTACCTCAACGTTTTGACATTAATACCAGTAAAAGTTACAAATTCGAATATTTGCAACCGATCGTGACAAATCCCTTTTATTATATCTGTAAGTGCGTTTACGTTAAACTTCAAACCATCAAGAATAGAGTTCCACAGTACATTAAGAGTTCTGGAAATTCTTTTCCACTTTCGAGACAATCGATATCGCTACTTTACGTTATCTTGTAACGCCGGCGTTTCATTTAATACACAATTACTATACTTACTGTATCCTCCCGATTCGTAGGAAATTCTCATTTGCGTTTGAACCTGTCACGTCTCTTATATATTTCCCGTGTCAATCGAACGGTCGATTAATTCATAGATATCTCCATAACATTCGCGTAACAATTACCAAATGACAATACAGTTGTTGGTGGCTGAGATCAGCAATACTCTTTACCGATCACTCGATATTTGTTAACGATTCATTTTAATCTAACAATAACTCGAATTTATCCCTAAAGTAGATACATTCGGCAGGAGAGCCTTTCCAGGAGAGGAAATTGATAAAGGAATAATAGATAATGTGATGCCTTGGACATGATAGCGAGTGCCGCCTGATAATCTTCCGCGCTAAATTACTCATGGATCGCTTCATGTCCAAAGTTCCCGCAACTAAATACATTATGCGATACTGAACCTCTTCAAATTCGTCTATTAACGGAACACTCTCCGTTGAACTCCTGAAAGGAGTCGATTACGGTGGTGTTCCTATAACGGTGGCTCGAAAGATTTCGAATCCTTTCAAGGCTGTGTTCCTCTATCAGTTCGCGAAAATTGTTTTCAGTCTCGAAACTGACATTTTTGAACACAAATCAAAGAATAAATGAAATAAATTTCGACTCACCGGTCGATGATAGGAGATTGTTGAATGTATCGCTTCGAACATCTTAAAAATTGATGGCTAAACGGAAAAATAGTCTTGACTCCGTAGTTCTCCCTCACTGGAACAAGTCAGGATCACTCCAGGATCTTTCATCTTGGTTCTCAACTTTTTCTTCTTCTCTGGAATATCGGTTTCGTCCGTGAACGGCGTCTGTCTCACTTAAATGATAAAAACGAATAGAATTTAAATGATAAAATATTACTAGTAGTAATGATGTAATAAAACAAACATCTGTTAAATTTCAATTAATAATAAATGAATTGACAAGTTTATATAGGTTATAAGTTATAAACTTTCACTAAACTTAATTTGAAAATTTTACGTCGACTGAGACAGTAAGATGCTTCGTAATTTGTAAATTTTCGTATTTGTAAACTTTCATTTTTGACAATGAAGAAACCGTACCAATACATATGCAGTATAAAATTTCTCGAATAACATTAATTTAACTGCGCAAGACGGACTGACTATACGTCTGTCACGTTAGAAAATATAGATACATACATGTATGACCAAACGGCAATATTAACAGGCGTCGCTGATTTCCTCGCTTCTTGGTTTCACTTAATTTTCATGCCGCTGCAAGAGGCTCGAACGTTCAACGTTTTCGCTCGTTTTGGGTAATTGAATTAAAACAAGATCATCGGTGTTTACAACGAAGCAACACGTGAGACCGCCAAAAGTACTTTCCATTCCTTCGCTTAACTCGCATCGGTCGTCCGTGGATCCAACGGAAGGCGTTTAAATGTTGGAGAATGCGGAACGCTGATTGGTCACCGGGCTCCAGGTCGATGGTGGAGGGGGACGCCGGGTCGCGACAAGCCTAGCAGTACCACTTCGACTGTGAACGCGGTAAGAATTGGTTCGTTTACATTGAAACAGAGTCCCTTCGTTCGAATTCGAATCGTCGCGACCACAGTCGATCGTTTTTTTTCAAACGCTAACAACGTAATTGGCTAACGGTGCGCGATCAACAACCGCAAGTCCGAGTCGGTTGGTCAACAGTTGCCAAATTGTGGGTGATAATTGTGATTGTAGGTGACATTAAGTGAGATACGCAAACAGGTACACTTTATTCGTGCGGCATAAGAAACGAATCACGGAGGTCGTTGCACGTAACATCCAACGAGGGACGGAGCAATTCACGCGAGCACGAATCTATGTCTACGATTGTGTAGCACTCTTCTCGACCACTTGTCACCAACCGCCGCTATTGTCTTTTGGGCAAAGATCGAGCCGGCGACTTCGTTGCTTTCATTGTTTTCTCGGTGAGTGTTAATTTTTACCTGCACGGTTTTATAATAGCGTCGATAGCACCGGATTATTTGATATGTGATCTTTTGCAACTCCGATTGAGGTCTGACGCGAACATTATTAAAAATTTAAATATCCCGCCACTGGCAAGGAAAACACAATAGAGGGTGACAGTTATAGCGAACTTCCGTTTGTTTATATTTTGATTTATTTCAATTCGCCATTTCTTTAATTGTGAAGATATACATTTTATAAAGATACATTTCTTTTTTATTTTTACAACCGTTTCTTTATTTATTAATGTTATTATAATGATACACCTACTGATAATTAATATTAAGTATGTATTATTTTGATTTAAATAAATTAATTTTTAATATTTTTATCGAAATGAACGAATGACTGAAAGAAATGTCATTTAGTGAGTAAGGAAATAGATAGATGATTAATTAACTAATTTAAAACGGTTTACTTATTGAAAATAATACTACTAGAGCAAATCAGTCGTTAACATGTTATATTACAAATGGTTGTTAAGTAAGAATCTATCGATTCTTATTTTGTCATTCATTTAAAGAAATTTATTTAAACAAAATTATTTAGATAAAAATAATAATATGCAAATAATTAGCTCAATTTAAATGTCACTATTTAATATTTTACATTATGCTATAAATTAAAGGTAGTTAATTGAAAACTATTTTCAATTAATTATCGCATGTTAAAATCTTGATGCAAAAATTTATTTTACATTGTGTTGTACCGTCTTATTTATTTATTTTTGATACGTGATTGGTTTAATCGAATTAAATAAATTCTTAATCAAACGATAGTGAAATGAAGATTAAATTCAAAATAAAATTGAATGAAATAAAATATGATTAAATTGAAATAAATGCAATTAAATTATTCCATTCTGTATTTGTCTATTACGTCTTGAGAGTAATAATTTTTTTCTCGTGAATTTTACTATTTATAGCATTAAATTTGGATGTATGTTCATAATTTTATAAAGCGTTATACATAAAACTTTTCATTTATTTAATTCCACCTACAACGTATATACAATTTTAGAAATTTTTCTATAATTTTATCTATTAATTTTCTCAATTAATTGAAAATATTTTTTAATATTATCCATGACATTCAATATTTATAAATATAATTAGAAACTAAAGAATAATAACTTTTTCTAGCTTTAATTAATTCTTCTTTAAAGTTAAACAAATACTTATAACTTTGGAAATATTGAAGAACTTCTCCAAACTTTCTCTTTGAATAATGATAGTATTAGAGGAAAGTTAACAATTGTTGTCAATATTTCGAAATATAATCTTTGACATTACGACCATCAATAATCTAATAATAAATAGATTCTTATCCTAAATTTATACCCATATTAACTTAAAATAAACATTATAATTTACATATTTTTTAATCCTCACACAATCCTTGAATTTTTATATTTCAAGTTCGCTCTCAAAATAAAATTTTAAGAAACATAAAATCGAAATAAGAAATTACATACAGCTATAGAACCGTTTTTATCCGAAAATATTTATTATGCTTAAAAACTTTATTACTTAATATCATTGAAAGAACGTAGCAAGGTTCTACTCTAAATATCCAAATTACTATAAACTAAAAACATTCTTCAACATTCTAATTTTAAATGAACTTGCCCTGTGCAATTTCCGCCACAGTGAATGAAAATGTCTTTCCAATTACATCAAATATACAATTTGAATTACACGCAATGTGAAACACAAATTTCAGATTCTTTAATTTCTCGATCAGAAAGAATGTTTTCACGAATAACATTCGCTACCCATGACTATTTACCGAATGGTTCTATTGAACTTGTTTCAAGCTCAGAAAATACCGCAATTCATAGACGCAACGTTAGCTTTATCAAAGGAAATAGGACGGACTATCCTGTGTATATCCTTGTAACCGTGAAATTCCCAATTATAGAAAGGCAGGATTTTATCATTCCTCATGTTTGAACTGCAAACTTCTGTGCAAGTTCATATTTTTGTGCAAATAACGAGAAAAACAGAAACTGTCTTTATTTCAATTATTAAATGTTATAATAGATGCTGTATTTTAGATATTTTATTACACTTCCGTGTATTATATGCACCTTATCTATTCTCGTTTAAATTTTTCATAAAGGTATAAAACGTTTCCGTAGTTCGGAAGATAGAAAGACAAAAAGAAAGAAAAGTAAGAATACGAAGAGTTCTACGAATTCATTTTATATTTTAGCAATCGATTACAAGCAGTATTTAATCTCATTTCTTTTACGGAGACTCAATTAGATTCTCCTTTAACAATCGCAGATCTGCGGAGTTATCGATCGCAGCGGACCAATCTCCACGACAAATGAAATAACGAAACTCAAGATGTAAATTTTATGGAACTTTTTCTCCTGCAAATCTGTTCCCTCGTTAATGCTTGAAATACTCTCTGCGAGATAGCTATTTGATCTTCACTGCGAAGAGGAGAACTACTTCACTTATTACACGCGAACGAACAACGATTAGGTATTTCAAAGCCACTGTCTACGCGAATCACTGAAAATTATTAACCAACTATTTTTTTTTTTCAATTTTATTGTGACCTACTTTGTTTTATAAATACTTCAAGAGAACATGCTATTCATTAGCATTTTAAATGGTCACTTTATCGCATTTTCTGTCATTTTAGAAAAAAGATCGCTTTAACAAGCTACATATTACTATTATATTAATTAAAGGTAAATAAGTTTCTTATTTTTTAACGTGCGTGATTTAATATGGACAATACTTTAAATGAACTTTCTATTAATGCATATTTGAATATTTTTCTTCTTCATGGGCTTGAATGCATATTATTGGATCGATAATATAATATATGTATGTTTCATAATTTCAAAGTCAACAGAGATGGGTTAATAAAATTTAAATCTTCTGGTCAACGATTAAATAATAAGATGTATTATTCTCCTTAATATAAACAGTTTAACATATATAAGTTTTTAAATGGAAATTGTTAATGTACACTAGAATTCTTTTCTCTTTTAATTTGCGTGGTTATTTGTGTTTCACAACATTAAAACTAACAAGAGACTAAACTAAATAAATAAAATTTAATTCTTGTAGTTTTAACATTCTTAATGTTACTTCGGACCTTTTTCTTTTTCTTGAAGCTAGATTTTTTTTTATTAAATTGAATAATAGAAAGCTTTTTCTACTCCATAATTTCAAAGTCACCAAAGGACAAGTAAACAAAATTTAAGAGGAGCTGGTAATGTCTTTGTAGAAAGAAAATATATTTGCGACGGCGGAAAAATATTTTTATAAATCTAAGAAATGGAAAATTAACTGAGTGATATAATTGACGAAGTTATCTGATTAATAAAGTTGATTACGTGTTGTGTAATATTTTTAATTTCACTTTGATGAATAATAATTCTTTAATTTCTAATTTCATACATAAAAATAGCAATATACTAAATGTTTCTATGACAGTAATTTAATAATTTAAAAGTATTAATTACAATTTGTGTAAAAACATTTTGAAGAATTTATTATGCAAAGTGTATCGGTATTTAATTGTTCACTGTTTGTGTGGTCTTCAGCATACACAAATTCTTTAATACGATCTCTTTAATTCTGCTTACTAGGCCAAACACGTGGCAAGAACACGCATTACATGACAAATTATGTGAAACACACAATCCTAAATTTCTCGTAAACGAAACTTCAATTAGAAAATCGTTACTTTACATTTTCTACTTATTTTTTCATAAAGAATCTACTCGCGTCTGGTTGTATATGAATGTTACATATGCTTATAGAGTTATGATTGCATGAATCATACAAAATACAAATATTTGGTTGAAAATAAATAAAATATAAAAATAGATATTTCTAATTTATTAATAAACTAATATTAACTAACTAATAAAAAACAATTTTGTTATTTATTATATTTAAATCTTTCATTCTCATTAAACTTGAATATCATATTTCAAATTTTGAATGTACATGTACATAACTATTACACATATCAAGCATGAATAATTAAATTTATGATTTTTATCAAAAATTATATTTCAGACTTATGGTATAGGCACATGTAACAATCGATTATATTGTGTTAAAAACTCACAAAATAGGTAATTAACACTTCAATCTCATATAGGAACTTTTAGTAAATTATGAAGTTTTTTATGTCACACAAAGTATAACAACTGTATATCACTGTTGAAAAGTTGTTACAATTTTACAGAAACTGCGAATTACAAAATTTCGTTCAATTTATAAGAGATCGTTTACCTTCCTTAAAACTTTTCTCTTTCTATGTAAGAAAATATTATTAGAAATTGATCTGTTTAGATTTCTATTGTGATCGATAAAATGCTATGTTAGAACTTACTAGTTCTTTGTGCAAGAACTCATTCTTATATTCAATATGTTGAATTTACATTACTTTAGACTTTGAATTATTTGATTAGTATAATGACACTTCATTAAAATTTGTAGATCAATTAATTTTCACGTTTTTCTTCTTTGAAAATTAAAATGAAAATCACATATTTCAATATACCTAATTTTCTTGTAATCTGACATAAAAATTACATTAACGTCTTTATCTACTTAATAATGATGATCGACTCATTTAATATGTTCTTTCAAAGCAAATTTTTTGTACGATTCAAATTCTTTTTGTACTTTTTGGGTTCTTCTTTTTACCAAATATCAGCTTTTCGCTTTATCTTCATGCTATCATAAAATAATAGGTAAAAATTTTTTATCTGTTTCTTCTTAATCTATAAATCAAGTACGATAAAACTCCATTTGTTTAAATTCCATTTATTGGAACAAAATTTTAATTAATGCTCAATTAACTGAATTTTTGCTGATTAAATTCACTTACTCGAACATGAGACTCTGCTACATGAACAAAAAATAATATATAGGGAAAATTGATGAGCTCTTATATGAACTCTAATTATATAAATTGTTTA